CAAACTCATTAATAATTCAATTGATCTCGGCCGTAGAAGATGGCGAAGGGACGTCTTAGACTCAATATCTTCCTTATATGTCTTTATATATTGTATACCAGAATCCAGATAAGTGTTGAACAATTGTAATGAGTTTGCGTTTAGTAAAATGTGCTTTTTAGTTATTCTGCCTCATTATAATTGAAGTTTATGCTTGGGAAATCTCGAAGCGTGGGCTTTGGTCTCTCCGCCATATATTAATAATAATATTAAATACTGAACTTTATTTAAAGAAGGTATTACAAAACCAGTTCAGCATAGCTGATCTTACACTCAGCCTAAAATGGAGCGTCTGTAACTTCACATTAAGCGACTGGACACTAGTTTGAGCAAATGTTCATTCATATAGGGCGAAAGTTTGATATGCACGTAAAATCCTCCGACATCCCCCCTCCCCAAACTTCAGATGCTTTGCTACGTCCCTGATGGTTGTATTTCGAAACCGTTTTCAGTTTTAAGATATTCTTAGCAGAATCTGCTCTTCTAAATGGATACATGAAATCACCTATAGCTTATTTTTAACTTTTTGGTGCCAGGTTTGTGAAGTAATTTACCCGCCAAAAAGTATCGTATACAAAAAAGCATACGATTTGTAAGAATGATATTTAGTACAAACAGGATGAAAATTAAAGAAATTGAAACATACTGGAACTCTTCCATGCATTTTTGACAGGCATGCAAAGAAATTTGCAACAGATTGGCGGAGATACGTTGGGTGGGGGCGAGGTTTTCTAAGGTTCCAGCATATTACCCGGATCCAGGAAATCCAGGCCACTATACATGAACATGTTCAAGATTCCGACTACGCTGAATGACGGACAACAACAACCTGTCGATAATTTCGCCCCTAGAGCCAATCTAAAATATTTTTTTTTATAAAAACGGTGCCATTTCATTTGGCGATAGTGAGGTGAAAGAAGCAGCAAGTCAGTATTTTTGTTGAGGAGAAGCATGTGTTTGAGTATATCAGACATCTTGAGGAACTGCAAATTGTATCTATAAGAGAGAAATCCGGATTGTACTCCTTCGACTCCGAATTCTGGGGGGGGGGAGTGGGGCATTGAAAATTTTAAAAACTTGGAGGGGGGGCATCGAAAATTTACCAATAACCTGAACAGGGGTCCTGTAAAAATATGAGCTTTTTTCAAGACTTGACTTTTCTCAAGCCTATGTTACATTAAAATTTATACTTGTTTTCTATGAATGCCGTGTCGAATATGATGTTTCAACAATTGATGATTCCCCGTTATCGTAGCGCTTTGCATTGTGGTTATAGTGGTATCACTGATATTCAAGATGGCTTATTTTTTTCCTGCCCGTGCAAGAACTTTTAAAAAAAGCTAGGGTCAGGTGCGCGACAGCTATAACAGCAAAATATTCGCGAAAACATTCAATATTTTCATTCGAGGCCGCTATCTTTATCAGTGCTACCACTATAACCACAATGAAAAGCGCCACGAAAACGTAATAAGGGGAATCATCAATTGTCGAAATTCAGTAAGAGACTCTGCTTGTCTTATATTGCTAGGTATAAGCTGTTCCATAGATGTAGATGCATGGGTATAGGGATTCAACTACTTGAAAAATACAAGTAAAACTTGAAACTTCGACGTTCCGAGCGGAGGACCTTTTCAGCCGGTAGTTGAAACTGGGTACACAGTTCTATAGAAATGCAAGGTGAAATGGATGCGCTCTTACAACTCTGATTTGAGGAATAGATATATATAACTGAATTTTGAACTCCGAAATGTTGAGCGAAATAAATTCTATTTTCGAATGACTATAAATTGTCTGATAATTTCCTAAACCATTGAAACAGATTACTGAGACAAATATCTCAAATTTTATGAAAGTTATTCCGCCTGCATGTTTATAATTGTATCAATTTTGATTTCTTGTACCTGCGCTTCGACAGGTGACCGTTAGAAAACAGTCTCACGGGTTCATGCGGCATCGGTAAACTTTCGAGCATCACTTCAACTCAACGTAAACATTTGTGTCTCATTCGCTAATAATCAGGTATTGAAAAGAAAACAATTTTCTTCCCGTTCCTTACTGGTAGTAAAACTTACAATATCAAATGTACAGTTGACTGCTAGATTTTTCTCTGGGAGTATGTTACCTTTAAAATACGCTGTCCTATTTGCGGCCATTTTATCTGTGACATTTCATTCGACTTGGGGTAAAGAAAAGAAACCAAATAAAGGTACTCATTATTTATCTTTTAAAACAGGTTAAATCAAAATAAAATGTTTTAGTTTTCTTTATCGAGTTAAGAAACTCCAGTTCATCAAAATTGTCTTTAAAAATTATTCAAAAACATTTTTTATAAGAAAATAACTTTTTTCGTTCTGAAGGGTAATTGTAAATTCTTAGTTAGGCCTATATTTAAAAGATAATTAAATTGACATGTCTTAGCAATTTTATATAATATGTACATCATCTAACTGAAGGAAACAGTAAAATCCGTTGAAATTACCGAGCTATTCTTCTCAAGTGCAATTGTCTTTGAGCACTAAGGTTAAGGGCGTATGATTTTGAGGGTCCGTGAAGTGAGGAGGGGCTCATTCCAATTTTACAGCCAAAATCTTGACTGAATTCGAGTCACCCGACCAACTAATTTGCTAAATCCCATTTCCTTAGTTAAAAATAGGCAAATCTAGTCTCCAATTTACTCACAACCCTCATGTTTCGATACACGTCACAAAATTGTGTATAGTCATACTTTGAACTCAGGATAATCTCAGGACACTGACATTTCGAAAATTTAAAAAAAAATTATTCATTTCCAAAAAGTCTTAAATAAAAATCTCTATTCTAATATATACTCGATTGAACAGCTTTATTACTCTTCTAAAATCTTCTGAATATATCATTCATTTATAATTACCTTACTATAGGTTGGCTTTCCCATGCCAGAATGTTATGTATATTGATATACAAAGTGGCAATCATATAATAGTCGTCGTTTTTTACTCTAATTATAGCTTGCTGTATAACATAAATTAACATTTTAGCGTATAACGAGTTTATATAATGTTATGCTCAAACTATCCGGCAAGAGGCAAGACTCAGGCGTGCAAAATTATTATACGTTCTGCGTAATATGGTACATTCAGTTACTTACACGTCAAGTCAAGGATACATAACTAGAGGATATTACACGGCGGCGCGAAGAAATGACTTACATTCGAGTGGTGAAAACAATATTTTACGAACGAGCGCAGCGAGTGAGTAAAATATTGTTTATAACACGAGAAGATAAAAGTCATATCTTCAAGCCACTGTGTAATGTTCTGTTTATTATATTATTAGTCCCAAGCAAAAAATTGTGAATTTTCACACTCAAAAGCAAATTGTCACATGATCGATATCTTCACTAGTGAAGATATGGAAAATATGTCACTGTGTATTTTTCAGTATTTCACTTTCTACTATATAATAAATGATAATAGCTACTTAAATTGTACTGTTTATAGGAGTGGACAGAAACCTCTTCTCTTTCCTCAACCCATAGCCTAGCTTGAACATGCATAATGACGAACCTTATGCATAATGACGTCACAAGACTTAATGCCCGCGAGGAATGCTGGTCTTAGTAGTCATCGCCTTGGAAAATTAAACAATTCAAAATGGCCACTATCGAAATTTACCCGGGCGATGACTACTAAGACCAGCATTCTTCGCGGGCATCAAGCCTTGTCACGTCATTATGCATAAGGTCTATTGACTATAATTTGAATGTTCAGTGCTATAAGATATGTATGTATTTCTATAGCACTGGTTCTGGTATAATGTTCTGGGAGTCATTAATTGAAGATTTAAAAAAAGCGGCAAATATATCACTGACACTATATTCATGCAGGAAAGAAATTGTTTGTTGAAATCTTTCAATTAAATTAATTTTAAAGTCAATATTCCTATGATCAGCAATTCGGGGTCAATTTTTGGGCGAACATACTGAATCAGTAAATCAAATTTTATTAATGGTGAATAATTTATTGCATGATTGTAAGATTATGTATTTTTTGCTTTATTACATTTCTCTCCTTGTATATATATTGTAAAATGTTCGAGTATCTGATTTATGAAAGAAATACAAGGTTGCTTTGTGGCAAACAGAAACCAGAGGACAATTTTATAGTCGCTGATAAACCATCCAATTTGAGGACGTTTCTAGTCTAGAGACTGAGTGGCAATTTATTGGGTAGTTCGTCTCGTTATATATACAAATGGAGAATAATTATATAAATGCATAAAAGCAGAATGAGATATGTGCACGTTTACCGTTCCACGTGTACAGCTAATAACGTGTAAGCATACTGTTCCACGTGTACAGCTAATTCCAAAAAGGTTGTCTTTTGAAAACCGCCTTAAACTCCAAACCTTAAACCTTAAACTCTAAGCGTACAAAGCATAATGGGAGAATTGGCTGTATAAGGTATGACATGACATGCACATTAGGGCAAACCGTCCTCCTCTTTTGCCCGTACGTCTACGTTTCCAACCTCATTTTGCTTGAACATTAATTATTATATTGTACTCTTCTGATTGATATAGTTCGTTTCGTATAACCTCGGATCCTTCATCAGTTCCAAATAAATAATCGTAGACGTAGTATTTCTACATGAAAATTAATGTAATTTTATTCTGTATTACTCTGTCATCACAATTACATATACCGCTTAAGCTGGAGTTACACGATCGAGCAACAAAATTGCTGCAACTTGCAAGTAAAAAACAATTATATTTGACTGGGTATATAACTTTGATTATAACATGATTGATTGTTACATAGACAAGAACGTTTTAGATTAGCTGGCATTCTTCTCAATAATTTTATGGACTCATTCGCTCATTGCATTCGCTTGTTCGCTTTCTGAAAACAAATTACTGTAACGCGTGCGAAAATACCTGCATACGTCAGAACTTCCCATAAAGAAATTTATATGCATTTAATGATGACATTATGTGTTTCAGCTAAGAATGCGCTGGGAAAAGACGAATCGAAAAATTCTATTAAATTACCCAAAGGTTGGTGTTTCTCGTTTTAAAATGTGAACTGTATTATACATTATGTATAGATAACTCGTAAAAACAATGAAAGTTTTGGATATTATTAATTGCTGGTCGCAATGATACAAAAATGTACCATTCTAGTACCCATATATAACATTCTTAGAAAATATGCATGCTTTTCCAAAACCACTCTAATAAAGATGACTTGCCCACAAAAATGTATAAGGTTTAAAACGCAATTTTAATTAATGGGGTGCAAATTTGGAAGGTACGTGTTTCATGAACTATCAAAATACCAGATAATTTGATGTATATTACACTTGATTACAGCCCCGTTTAAACTACGCTCAAGTTATGGTACGGCACGGATAAAACTGGTATACTATACCAAACCTATCTGTGTTCAGCCTTGGTAAATAGGTAGTCCGAGCAGGGATAAAAATTGTACAGGAACCAAAATTGCACGTAGTGTAAACGGGACTTGTGTAAACGTAAACCTCTAAAACTTGGATTCTTTGCCATAGTAACCTTTCACAATTCACACGCATGACTGATTTTATGCGTGATTATTTTTTTACAAAAAGTATGCGCGTTGGACATCAAACTGTCTAGTGCTTTGATAGTTCATAAAACACCTTGTAAATTTGCACCTAATGAATTCAAATTGCGTTTCAAATTTACCATTTCTGTTGCCAAGCCATTTTTTTGAGTGCCTGCTGCACTCGAAATTTACTTTTCAGAATAATTTCATGATAGAGATACTAGAAAACCCCAAACTACCTGACATAAAGTTGCCACAAACTTTGCGGAATTTTCTGTTTAGTGTACATTTTAGAACTGGGTAGTTTTTTTTATACACCTATGTATATAAACATATTATGGGTATACCAATTTGCATAAATAGACAAAAGAACTTGAAATAATAATTCCCATTGTTCAATTATATGTTCATATTTTTAATTCACGTTTGATTGATATTTTTGCACAATCCAGTTCATGTGACGACGAAGAAAGACAAGAAATGGAACGAAGCGGAGCAAGTTAAAAATTCTATTGATGAATTCTGGTTTAATGAAGAAGAAGAAAAAGCCGGTAGGAATAAGATATGAGAAATACCTCGAATGCGGGAATCCAATATAGGCTGCGCGTTGAACAGAATTCAAGAAGTTAATTCAACAATGCAACTACCTGAAAATGTATATAAGTAGCAAAACGTCCAGAGGTAGAGATATATTCTTCAACCAAATTCTGGGATGTCTGTAATGCGCGAAGAATGTACAGATTAAATATAGAATGCATGTTGTCTTATTCAATATGAATCGGGATCATACAATTTTTCATTTGGCAGATGTTTGTGCATCGACGTACTCGCCTTCCGTCATTTTAAGTTCCAGCTTTAACTTTTTCCACTATAGTTACCATTGAATACAGCGACCAAAAACATTTACATATCCTTATATCAAATAAATATGTTTTAAAATATGTTTAAAATAAACTTATCATCACCATGTCTTTTGTAGAAAACCTGACGTGTAACAAACCACTTGACCTGGTCATCGCCCTGGACAGCTCAGAAAGCATTCGTGAAGCAAACTGGACGAAACTTATTCGTTTCACGAAAGCTGTTGTGAAGACATTGGACCCAACTTTAACAAGAGTGTCTGTCATTCGTTACAACACGAATGCCGAAGTCCCTATACCCTTGGGTAAGTGTCAGTTACGATTTAAGTTCCTTAATGTTGGCTTGCATGCAGGACCGTGCCAACCGGTTTCTGGTTGGGGAAGGGGGTGTATTCCAAAATTTGGGCCCCCTTCCATTCCAAGCCCCCCCCCAAAAAAAAATTTTCCGGAAAGCAAAAATTTTTCCGGAAAGTTCCCAAAGTTCTCAAAATTTTTCGCAAAACAACATTTTTCCAGAAATTTTCAAAATTTTCAGCGAACAAATCCTTCATTTTTTAAAAATTTTGCAATTCCAGCATGTCAGGGCCCCCTCCCCGCAAGTTGGGCCCCCCTTTTTAACTTTTCTTGGGGTGTTACAACCCCCCAATGCAACACCCCCCAGGTGGCACGGCCCTGCTTGCATGCATGGATTTGTATAATTGATTTACCTTTAATTAAGGCTAATTTCCACTCCGGATAATAAGCAGCGGATCGGACCGGATTGGAGGTTTTTCCAATCCAGTCCAATCCAACAAGCGATTTCCAGTAAAAGGACAAGTGGAATGATCGGATCGGAAAAGGAAAAAATGGAGCTCGTTCTAGTCTCACAAATTACTATGTCGCGCTTATTTCAAAACATCTGATTTGGTTACGTCGTCGCCAGTAAAGGAGAAGCGAACAAGAAAAATACAAAAAGAGCATTTGGATAAGAAAAATTTTCCAGGAAAGACAATGGAAAAGTAAATACCACTTATTGCTAGAAGAGTTAAAGCTACTATATGAATATTTTTAAAGCAATTTCGTATGTTGCCAAGCAAACTAATTTAAAGAGCTGTTGTACTCTTCAATTCTTGTAAATTCTTCCTCGAATTCTCCAAGAAAGCTAGCTCCTAAATTATCCGCCATTTTGTAAATTTTATACAGGTATTATTTGATTATTTTATGTGAGATAATAGGGCATTTTGATTGGTCGCCAGGTTTAATCCGTGGACCGGACCAAAATAAGTTGAAAATATTGCAATTCTTTATTATCCGGCCAGCAACCTCGCCGGATCAATCGGAACCAAAAATTTCTACTGATGGCGCATGCGCGGATTTTGTTTTGTCCGATCCAGTCCGATATGCTGCTTATTTTCCTGAGTGGAAATTAGCCTTAATAAAAAACGTTGATGAACATCCAAGCTTACTGACTGAATCGAACTGCATAACTGTTTGCAAAATAAATGAACGTAGTGTTTTCACTCTGAAAAGCAAATCAACTGTCCGATGGTATATATTTAGTAAACTACAAATTGGTTTCCACAACTAATTCGAGGCCCATTAATTAGTTGGATATCTGCATGCCTAGTTTATATAATTTACTTTGTCTCAGTAAATTTTCTACGGTAATCGTTTCTCCAACTAAAGTATACTAGTTATATAACAGCGTACGTACATTTGAATAATATGCTGCTTGAATAGGTTGAAATACTCAAACTCGAGTTTTGTTTTACAATCAGGATTTTTCCAAAGCGCGGATGCCTTTGGTACAACATTAGACAACGTGTTCTACGAACCAGGTGGAACCAGGACCGACGTTGCTTTAAGTAAAGCTTTGGCTGTGTTCGCTTCTGGTGGTCAAAGGCGAGCGAGTAGGGTTCTTCTTGTCGTCACAGATAATCCAACAAACGACATTAGATTATCCAAAGAGAGCTTGGTAATCGGGCGAGATTTGGTGGAAAAACCTTCCGAAAGTTTAAAAAGTTATGAAGTGATAACATTTGGTGTAGGCATACAATATGGGCTTACAGCAACTGAGCTGACAGATCTTAATGAGGAAATAAAAATGTTCACACTTGATCATGCTGGTGACAAACGAGTTGTTGAAGTTCAAGATTTCGACGGACTCCTCAAGGAAGCAAACAACGTAGCTGGGAAGATCTGTTTAGGTATAGACAATGGTTCATTTTCAATTTTCGACGTTTTTAATTTTATTCGAGCATATATTTAATAGGACCTTGAAGGGGGTAGGGGGTCAATCCTATCTGCCCAGCCAAAATTTGTCTTAATCACACTCACATGCAGTCACCCGACAAATTGTTGGAAGGTGACTGTGATTAAGACAAATTTCATTGTTGGCAAGTGCAACCATGGAGAGTATCCATTATAAGAGGTTACAGCTGTGGTAATCCCAGTATATTCAAGACAACATCAATTGATCTTTTTAGTAAATGGAGGTTGGAGTAGTTGGTCACCTTGGTCGCAATGTACAGCGTCTTGCGGAGGGGGTACAAAGGTTCGACTCCGACGTTGCGACAATCCCAAACCTGTAAACAATGGAACTAATTGTACAGAATTGAGTGGCTCCACTGTGGAAACTGCTGCTTGTAACATATACCCATGCACTGATGGTGAGTGGTACATAGTATGCAAACTTTGTTGCAAACCTTAAGATTGATGTTTAATTACAATGTTTGCTTCGAACCTTAGTTAATATACTTTGTGGAGATCAAGATTGAGCCGTCATCTTGTTTTTGACACCTATGCTTTATAGTTGCGCTCAAGAACGTTTTGCATTTTCCGTGTTTAAAATTTGTGCAACGTGAAGCTATAGAAACGTGAAGCTAAGGTTTAAAAATTATTTTTCATTATTATCAGGTCTAGAAGTAACTTCATTGCGGCCACTACCATTTCACCCTGCAAAAGGAGCAGCACAGAACATTTTATTTTCCAAAGGTTGGTATATATTATAATTATGGGTATTTGGTACTTTTACTGTTTAGATTTTGTGAATTTCTGTTATAAAGTTTATAAAAGTCGTTTTGATCATGACCGTCTTTTTGGATCAATTTTGATCGATGTTTAGGAGATATTTGATATACCACTACACCTCCCCCAAGGGCTCTGGAAGCAACGTGAATTGGCGAGGGTAGCCATTTGAAAAGGGAACTAACTAAATTCAGGCCAAAAGCCGTTCAGGCCAAGTACAGCCCCTTTTGGGTACATAAAACGTAGTATTCGCAGTACAAAATGAAATAATTACACTGTCACTGTTCACATCTAATCAAAATCATGCAGTATAAATTTTGTCAAAGTGCAAATCAGCTAAAATTTACAACACATTGTACCTATACTTTATCATTTATTCAACCTAACTATGGATTCTTGAAAAACATGGAATATTTTCATGCAGATTGTCCGAATGGTTTTGATTATGTTATTGTTGGTAATGATCAAATGAGTGCGTCATCGGTCTACACCAAGGACACAGGTGACCCAACTATTTTGAAGCTTCATGGACCTGGAAATGGAAGACTATACAATGTTATAAACGCAGGTAATTGAAGTGAATCATAAGTGCCGTCTCTCTTTTCTATGACATTTCCTTGCATAGTCTGTTTGTTTTTGATAAAATAGTATCATTACACGAATTTTTTTGTGTGTGTTGGTGTTATGTAATATCACAAACATCATTAGACATTACACGATTTATTATCCGTATTCATATCAAACTTTGTCATAAATTAGAATAAACGCTTTCGATAATTACGTCAGAATTTTTTTTGCCTATAGGAGCCTCGCTCTCATGAATTGTGAGTCAATCACCTTTACATCTTTATTAACGAGAGTGAGGCTCCTAGGTGACGTAATTATTGAAAGGATATATTGAAATACACACATTCATCAATCCCTTGCCTTTCTGACGGAAAACTATATTTCTCAAACATGTCGCAACATGAAGTAGCGCTGGCTCACCTCAAGTGGTAGTAGTCATGGTAAACGATTCGCGATAAAAAATTTTAAAAATTGGAAGAAAAAAATTTTTAAAATGGTACTTTTAATGATAAAACTGTCAATTTACGAAATACACTGTAAGCATGTTATCATACGCCATTAACTTCGATTTAATTCTTTGAGCAAACTTAGATACGTCTTAAAGTTTGTAATGTTATCAGCCAAATCATAGAGTTCGCGTCGGGAAATATTAGCGAGCTTAAGATCTACAACGCGAACTTACGACGCGGACGTGCTTAGCTAAGCCTAGTTTTCGAGTGTAAGCCTAGTCAGAGTTGTCACAGTTTATTTCTGCGAGATTTGTGACACTGTTATGACACGTTAACAGAGGGTCCTGAAGGGGGGGTCCCAATCCCATTTCCCACCTGAAATTTTGGCAAAATCACAGTCCCAGTTGGATTTTTATTAGAAATCCCAGTACGAGTTATTGAAATCCCAGTCAATAAAAAAACTTTATTTATCGGTACAATAAACAGTTTTAAGACTTTTAAGCCACCGTGTGTGCAAGTGGCGAACACTTTATGAAATATTGGGAGAGGTTCGTGCCGAAGGCACGGGAAATTTTTAAATTTGAATCCCGGAAATGGCATTTGCAGCATTCTGAGACACGCATAATCAGAAAACCCAGAATTTCTGGCGCCAGAGTATGCCTGTTCTCAGGTAGTGCTGTGAATAATATAGTTAACAACAAAAATCATGACCAAAGACACCAAAAACGGATCAAAATTGTATTTTAAAATACTTAAAACGTAGAAAAATTGGGAATTGACTCGCATTACCTCAATCCCATTCCCATTTTTGAGGACTTCATTTCCCATTCCCAGTGGCCAAATCCCAGTCCCAGCAACCCAAATCCCATTTTCCCAGTCTAAAAATCAGATCAATCCCAGTTCCCATTTTACCCCTTCAGGGCCCTCTTAACAGCCATACGAAATGATAGAAACCAGGCTTTATAGACTATTGTTACGAATGCACATTTTCCCGTTTTGCAAAGATTCGTCGTCATAGAAGTCGTAAAAGCTTATGATAAAAAATATCTTCTTAATATATTGCTAGCCTCTGTTATGTTGTACATTTTTTCCAGTATAATTTCATTTTATTTACTGTGATAAAAATATTTTAATGGTATTTGCCATCGTTTTAAAATAAAACTTGTTTAATGCGACTCCGCGCCGTAAATTCGCGTTGTAGATCTTAAGCTCGCTATTGTTTGCGAAGTGTTTGCGAAGAAAATACAAGCGAGCATGCAAATGTTAACGCATGAGAGCACCAAACCATTTCTATTTCTCTCGCGTATCAATTGAAAATACAATCCATAATCAATGTCAGCAATTTACAATTTCTCAGCAGCCATGCCCATGTGCTTATACAAAACACAGTATATATGATCAAAATAATTTCAATGCAGGTGCATGGTGTGCTGAACATACAGAATCTGTAACGAACAACCAGGAACAATATATTCAGATTGATTTAAAACTTCCGATAAAGATTGCTAAAGTTGGTACCCAAGGCCAGGCATCTCTGATCTCTAATAATTGGGTGACATTCTTTAAGTTTAACTACAGCGAAGACGGTAGAACGTGGAAACAGTACAACCAGGTAAGTGTAATGCATGGAAAGTAAACAGTGGGGGGCTCATTTCATTTGTATAGCAAAACATATACATGTACAAAAAATTAAGGAGTCCTGTGGCAACAGCGCAACAACATTTTTACAACTTAACAGTTCTCCTCTTCCATATACTATCTAGACAAACTATCTAACATACATACTATCTTAATATACAAACTATCTTAACATAGTACATACTATTATTATACAGTAATGACAAAGAAAGACAGATATATACTTGTTATACTTGTGACTGTTCAAGTGTGACATAAGTCGAACTCTAGAATCTTAATCTAGATATAACCTTAAAGGTATATGATATTAAAAATTACGATTCTCTCATTTGATTGAACTTTTAAAACTGTATATCCTTTACCAATTTTTCGTATCCTGCTTAGTTTTTGAAATATTTTGACTGAAAATAATTGCCTGTCCGCCATCTTGGATAGTTTCTGATCCCGTCATCGGTGGTTTTGGTAACGTCAAAAGCAGGGTTACCAGCATAGATATCTTATAGACACTAGATAGCGCATCTCTCTTAGTAAAATTGAAGCCAAGAATATTCCAGCGGTTACCCCTATTTGAATAGATGACGGCCATGTTGGTCGTTCCCACTCGCTAATAAACACTTAAAAACAACAATAACTTTCAACATTTGAATACTTTAAAAATGTATTTGGAATAGGGTTAACTTAATATTTAAGTTCCCTGCTTAAGAAATAGGAAATATACGAATCTTCTCATTTCATGGGAACGACCTGAGACTGCAATCACGGCTTCAATTTTTGAATTGCAGAATAATTAGATGAACTATCTAGTGTATATCAGATATCTATGGTTACCAGGTTACCAACTGACAATTGGTAGATGCATGCTTCAGTGAATTTTTTATTTGAAATAGTCAGGATCGAAATGTAATTTTGGGCTTATAGTGTAAATGGTAAATTATTGCTAAATTTTTGAGACTTTAAACTGATTACCATATCCCTTGCATCATTATATAGGCTAAATGGGCTGAAAATGTCAGCAGTTTATGTAGTTTTACGTCTTGCTTTGTCGTTAGAAAGCTTCATATACACTTCGATACCGATGTGAATACGTCCTTTACTAAGAAGATTTAAAAATATTTGGACTGCATGCAAAGATCAATATATATATAGACGGAGTTGTTTCACACACGTTGGGCAATTCCAGAGCTTAAAGTTCTTTTCCTGAAATTCTGACAATTATCCTTTCATTGCATTAGTGGCATACATTTGTCATTTGTTTTCATGCACATTATACTTTAGTCACATTATTGATGCCGACTACGATATGAAACGAAGGATGATGACTTTGTATCTCACTAGAAAGCATGCATGGAGCCTGAAAATTTTAATAAAAAATATTTTGTCGATGATACACATGTATAGGAACTGCGTGTCAGGAAAACGTTCTTTTAAGAAGTACCTACATGTATGCATATGTCCACCGCAAAGTTTAGATCGTTTACCTTTTTATAGACTCTTAAAGGGAATGAAGATCGAGAAGGTGTTAGTGAGAGTGTGATCAGTCCGCCTGTGAAAGCGCGATACGTAAGATTCAATCCAGTGCATTGGAATGCTCGTGGTGGTTTGCCTAAACATGATATATGTATGCGTGTTGGTGTTTTCACATGTACAGGTGAGAAATTGCCCAAGGAATTGAAGTTAGTGTCACCAATTTTTATTTACATTCCTTGAGTTTGATTTTTTTGTATTCATTGCGAAGAATTTTATATGTCATGCGACATGAAAGAGGTTTATTTCACCCATTCATGACCTTATACTTATCTTAAATACACCATTCTTGTAATGGAAATTTTTTCCAGTCGTTGTCCTCCTTAATGGGGCGAAAAACATGGCTCCGCCTCGAGCTAGCCTTTTGGATTATAAACGTATTGTCTTGTTATTGTTTTGAAAATGTAAACTCCCGCTGTTTTCCACACCATCTACGGTAGTCGCTCATTGTCTTGACATATATTTGTGACGTCATTTTCCCCAATATTTTAGCAGTCAGTGTTGAAATATAATACGATACTGTACGGTAATGATTAGTATTCTGGCTTGATCACCTACCATTATATAGATCATCCGATGTGGTTTTACTATATCAGAATCTTTAGTTTCAAGTTTAATCCTTATTCAAGAAACATTAATTGAAGAATTGCTACAACCAAAAATTCTGGAACTTCCCCTTTGAGAGCCCTCCTATTATAGCGTTTCAGAACTGCACTACTGAGATTTCAATACCAACATCCTTTTTTACGCATGATTATAGAAATAAAGTTAACGAAGCAAAACCACAAAACGTTTAAAAGAACTCTGATAAGAACACGCAAGGTATGTTCGTCGAGTGAACTTAGTTATATGAGGTTATTTCTGCTCAGACATGCAGTTACCCTGGTTGCCAGAGGTTCTCAAAAGATACGAGAACCTATGACAACCAGGGTAACATACAGTCATTCTTTGACTAATTTTGAAACGCATGTTCATGTAAAATAAGCAATGAGTTAAGTTATTATGTTAGCCGAGAAATAAAGATGTCATGAATTTGCTGTTTTGCAACAAAAAATGGATACAAACTATTAGAACCAGAAATAATGGTGTACTGTAAGGCGCGCGAATTTATATGATTTACCTATTAGATGACACGCAAACTTTGTCTATTTAATTTCATAAATTAACATTTTCCTGATTATTTTGGACATTTTAATTTGGAATATTGGTATCTTATGTAAGTAATTGTACAGTGGACAAACCGAGTTTGTTATCTTTTGATGAGTCAAATATGCAGTAGCTATATATAGATTAGAACTATATGATTAACTTATACAAATAATACTATAACTGAAATATAGTGTGAGGTATTTTTGGAACATCTTATTAGTTATGTATGATAAATAAACACTCCCACTCGTTCATTTATTGTGTTTAAATTGCGGCTTGACTTCAGTGATACTTCCTTTTTAGAATCGTTCGACCTAACATGATCGGGATTCGGGAATGAAATTGGATGTCCAAGTTGGACTTGTATTATGCATCATGCAGTGAAATGTTTTGGGCGCTCGCCTTGGAACACTTCAACACTACATCATTCAGTGATCGATATGTGAAACATGGTTTATTAGACTTGATATTTTAGCGTCACAGAACATGTCAGACTAATAGTGTGACCCAAATAATCGAACACTGAATATAATTAAGTCATATAAGTGTTCAATTAAAAAATAATTTGAATGTGATTTAAAAATAAATTCTAATTTTCAAATAAAGAATAAATTCCGTTTTTGGGACAAAGCAATAATTATAGAGTAAGCAAATACGTGGAGTTAATTACCCAGAAGCGGAGCATTTGGCGACACGATTAGTATTACATTAAGCCTATAAGAGGGTAGGCACAGTACGCCAGTTTAATATAAACGAGGTCATACCCTATCATGAAAGAACTGAATGGAAAAAAAGCGTGCGATGAAAGAAAACAAGATTGTTATTTAGTTGAAAACTGAAACAGTACTTCTCAAACTCATTAATAATTCATGAGGAAAACACAAAGGAAATCACCACCACATCGTTGTCTTGATACGATGATCTGAATAAACGTCCGATAAATTAACTCAACTTTCGTGTTGAATTCCACGCTAAATACAAGTTCGTTTGGGAAGCACACACTTTTCGGTGTTTCATACGCCGGTAATAAGGGACGGACCATTAGAAAAGTGATGGGGGGGGGGGGCAAAACCAAAAAAAAATTTTATTCCCAGAAAAAAATGAAAAAAAATCTTTCAAGGCATAGTGCAAAAAAAAAAATTCCTTGCTTAGAAGATAGGCCAAGTGGTGTACTGGAGGAAGGGCTCAGGGGAGCTGAGCCCCCCCCTTGTTGAAATTTCATGTTGACTTGGGGGGCTGCACGTTGGTCAAATTTAGCAAAATTTCTCCCACTCGTGCGGGTTCGTATTGACAGCGGATATCTTACAGAAAGTGGCCAGTTCTTTGAAAAATGCAAAAGTTTCAATTTTACACCGCAAGTCCACTGACAATATGAGCCTGCGATCCTGGGAGAAAATTTGCTGAATGTGACCAGCGTGCTGAGCCCCCCTATATTTTGGCACGTTGCATAATTGATAATCTTAACAACGTGCGAAAACACACACAAAAAATACCAGTAAACGAGAATGTTCTTTAGAATTGCATCTCATTTTCACTCATCATTTAACACAATGATTTTTGTAATCTTTATATCGCCATTTTTGTAATCTTTATATCATTTAGTACCACTAAATTGTAAATTTCGACATACTAAAACGCTGTTTTCTGACCATCAGAATTCTGTCAAATCTTCCCCAAAGTCCAGGAAATGGCATTTCGGAGACTCTAAATTTAAGAATTTCCTCGGGCCTTCGGCCCTCGCTTCGGCTTGTTTTAATAAGAATAATGTCAAATGTTTGTCCCAGAATTACTAGAATAAACCCCAACAAAATTTAGAATTTCTAAAATATCTTATTGTACCTCCCCTCCCCTCCCACCAATTCAGGGCACTTTGGAGAGCCCCCCTTGTTAACATTCCAGGACTACACCACTAATAGGCCTATAAATTTCACTTAAAGGGCCCTACAGTCATTTTTTAGTCGAAAGCCACCTTAAGTAGGGGACTCCACGGAGATTCGTTTGGCTGTATCTTACATGCAGTATCCATGAGTATGAGTACTTTCGCACACAGAAAACGCATGCATACTGTGGTGCGCATGTCAAGTAGCGACAATAACAAAAAATGTAAACAATACTTACTTGACTAAAAAATTACTGTAGGGCCCCTTTAAAAAAAAAATATTTCCAACCATCAAGTGAGAAAAAAAAATATTTCTTCTATAGGTGTACAAAAAAAAAATATATTGCCTCTTAGAAAATCCCCCCCCCCCCATCACTTTTCTAATGGTCCGTCCCTTACATTACATTACATTACATTACATTAGACGAGATATTCATTATGGGCCTATAAATTCGGTGTAAATACATAAAAAAGTTTTAAATTATTAAGGCCTGTTTTAAACGTCGCGCTTCTCATGTGCCGAACCCATTAAAAACAATACAGTGGATAATCAACTAAAATGCCTCATATCTATTGTTTCTAATGCGTTCGCATGAGAAGTGCGACGTTTGAAACAGGCCTAAGATATTCAAACTGTGCCAGGCGGCCAAAGTATAGCATATGGTTTTGAGTTGACCACCGTCTACTTTTGATAATTGTATATACATCTCATAACTATTTGGATTTTTGGTCAAAAGAAAAGAAAAAAAACAGCAGCAAAGAAAATTAACATAACATTAATTACACATGAATATAGCTATTTTTATTAACTTACTGTAATTACTAATTAATTAGTTGTATTGTATTGTATTTAAAACTTCTTTTAAGACGCTGGCCCCATCAGCTACAGACTGGTTTTCATGGGGGGCGTCTACTACACTATATTATACTAAATTAATAAGATTACTGACTATATTACACTATATATTTACAAGAAGAAACTATTACTATTTACCAATTACACTATATACAAAAGGAAAAAAAAAGAATAACAAACTAGATCAATATAACAGCACACACTATTGATAACTGCTTAAAGACGTATTTAAATAGATAAGTACTAGTTTTCGATTTCGATTAACCTCTTGAAAGTATAAATCGTAGGAGCACTCTTGGCATCATAAGACAGACTATTCCATAAGTTAGCTCCTCTATATTTAAAACTCCTTTTTAGAAATTCTTTTTTAGGTTTTGGAATTGAGAGGTCAGTATCATATCCTCTCAAATTATAAACATTATGGTCACTCCGTGCAGAAAATGTTTCGCGAAGGCACGGGGCTGTGCCATTTCTAAGGATGTTGTATACCATAACCGCCTTGTTGAATTTAAATCTGGTATCGAGATTTTTCCAATTGAGCCATTCAAGGAGTTCAGAGGAATTGGTATCATAGTTTGCTCCCGTCAGAACCCTTGCTGCTCTATTTTGGAATCTTTGCAATTTTTGTTTTAGTAACACCCCACAATTATCCCAAAGGGGAGAGCAATAATCAAAATATGGTTGAATTAATGCTTTGTAGATGGTGTGCAAGATCTCATTTGGGACAAATGATCTAGTACGTTTTAATATTCCAATTCCTTTGTTAATTCATAATGTTTTAATATTCCAATTCCAATTCATAACGTTTTAATATTCCAATTCCTTAGTTAATTCATTTGTTTAACCAATCCATTGAGGCATAAAATAAACCGATCAACATTCCCAATTTAACTAAGGTTATTATTTTGATTTGATAGTAAATCTACTCTATATTGTCTTTTAAAATCGCTGGTCGTTCGTAATTTCTTTAAGGAAACTGTAATGTTCTCCCATGACACTGAAGTATATATAGAGTACGTGAAAGTACATTTTGTCAACATTTCTTATTTTTGGCCTGTAATAGTTGCACTGATCTTTCTACATGGCTTGTATTGAAATTATTACAACAAATTCCCAGTACTAGTTATTTACAAGTTTATATTGTGGGATTTCCGATTTCATTAATCCATTCAGTATTTATATGTTAATGACAACGTGGTCCAAAATTCCACACAGCCTGTCTAACCCCGAGGTTTCAACTGAACAACCTAATTTAGCTAATTGTACAGACTACAATCGTGGACATAACTTGTTAATAAAATTTTAATTTGCCTCTGTGAGAGTTTAAATTCTAGTTTGATTCCTGTATGTTGTCTAAAATATCTTCCCCCGTCCCCCGAAGACAATGTTGTTGAGAATATTGGCAACATTAGGTGTGGGAAAGGGGGGAAACCTAATTAAGTTAGTTGCATGTATTTTCCTAAACTTTTGATTTATTTTATTAACAGTTTAAGTTTTGTCACGATTGTAGATATACTTCTTCCATACACACATTTAGCTATAGTGTTATAGTTTAAAATGGGAAATTAAAACATCCATGCATCCATATGAACAATAAGTAGGTAATGATATGGTTGATATGCCCTTCGCTGGAATTGTAAGGAATTTAAAATATATGATCTCTTTTAAAAGATAAGACGTTCTCTGACTAAGTCAGAGAGAACGCCTAATCTTTTAATATGTTTAATCCTGGCTACACATCTTCTATATATAATCTCTTTTGCTTACAATCAGTATTACATTTGGTACCTACAAATGTGATTTTTGTCGATGTATATAACCTACAACAGTGAATAATTCATGGACGATTATAGGCTGAAACGACAACATAACCTCCCCTTGTTCAATGTTGCGAGACTAATGATATCCGAAGTCTTTTTGTGTTCTATTGCGCGGTCGATATCTTTCCCAACAAGTAAAGCAATATTGAAACGGATCAGGAGAGGGTTTACAATCAATTTTACAAATATAACCTATTAATATCAGTCTCACCTTTCATTGTCACTGACATCTAGCCAGGTCTGGTAAGGGGGTGTTCATCGACTGTTGACCAAGTGTCTAATCACTAGAGGGACCTCCCGTAGAAAGGCACTAGTCTTTATAGTATTGCTTCGCAATTTCTTAATCATGTTACTATCTCATTTTGTCTCTATAATTTTAATTTTGTCTTTTTAATTGCCTTTCCAAATAGAAAAATAGATTCGATAAAGAAATTGCCACTCCTCTTTCAATCCCCTTTCCAAGGCTAGGCTCCACCCAGTAAATCCATCTCTGAGTAAAACTAAGTTGCATCCACTGGCTGTTCGCTAAGTTTTAATTCATAATTCGGGAAAATTAGTTTGACAACATCTTCACCATGCCATCGTCTTATATCTCGACATATTGAAATAAACTGGACGCCAAATTCCATCAAGGAGTATGCTGTTGTATTTCTCTGTCTAGAAATATCTTGATGCTCCTGATGCGAGACATTTTCCTGCTGATTTGGACTATTTTCATTCGGTCTATCCAGAACGTATCCCTGTGTGTGCATGGCGATGATGTTTCCGTTCATTTCAATAACAGGAGAACCACTAGAACCACGGAAAAAGGTTGTCTCGTATGGAAGATGATCTTGATATTTTGTATCGTTCCACAACAAGTGTGAATTGGTCATGTGTACGCCACTACATTGTTTATATCTTTCATTCAATCTGTCAAGCCATGCATCATAGCCGACAACAACACAGACTTCCTCTTGCATTTCCTTACATTCCGGGTGACCAAGGATAACTACTCGACCATCTGATAGTTGCCAATTTCTGACCATCGGACCAAGTGGAACACGATCTGTAAGACCTTCGCTTTGCTTTAAACGAAGGAATTTGTAATCCAACGATGGATTCTCAAGTGTCGTATGGTGTCCTTCGTCAACTTCCACAGTGACAATATGCTCTGTTTGTTCAGGGTACAAATAATCAAACCGAACAGTGATGGGCAAGTTAGGATTTCCAACCTCCATTCTTTCATCTTTAATCATTCTGTAAACATGATAGTTAGTTATCACTTGCATGTCTGTCACAAGGAAACATGTCCCTCTAACTCTGCCACATGCAATTTGACCAATGGATTTCATATATGAGACCAAATGTTCATTCAGTCTTGCAGGCATTTGAGTCGAAGAATTTTTAAATACTTCGCTTTTTGCAAAGTTGAAAACTTGTCCATCCCAATTGACAAATTCCCCATCATTTTTACTGCGTTTATCATCGTTCTTAGTCAACAAGTTTGTATAAGCTGACTTTTTAACATCTTCTGTCATGGCTTTACGAACTTTCTCAGTAAAAGGTCCCTTAGTTGATAGTTGGCGGCTATACACGTATGAAGCTGAAATTTCGATGTATTTTTTAATAAGAACCAAGTCTTTCATATGTAACCTTTCTGTCCTGCTTGGGTTGCACGCTTCTTCCATCAATGCTTCTGCACGCTCGCGACCGCCTGAAAAAAATTAAATGAAATGCTGACCGAGGTCTGAATAATTCTGATATCCTGCGTAAGCCGAATTCAATAATTCTTTTATTATTCATTCTGTAACAAAAACAATCAAGTTCAAACCAAAACGAGGAAAAGCCATTGTCAAAACAAAATAATTTTACCAAATTTACCGCTCTTTTCCAATTCATGCAAAATACCGCTGCAAAAATACGCGGGCACCTACAGATACGATATTTATTTGTCATGTTCACATGCAGATACGATATTTAGTCATGTTCATGTTTGCACCGAGATACGGAAAATTATCTGTAGGCTTTCAACCAATAAGAATACGAGAAAATACTGAGTACAATGAATAATAATTAACAATTATTGGATGAGGTTTTTGTGATATGCGGAATTTCAAGGTTAAGGCAAGCGTTATCAGCCGAGGGCGAGGCCGATAACGCTTACCGAGACCTTGATAATTTTGCATATCGTAAAAACCGAATTCGATAATTGTTTTATTATATATTTGTTTGTGTTAAATAGATACCGCTTGCTAATCATCGCAGGCTCATTTACAGATAACTCAGTTATCTGCCAGCGGAAAATTGAATTTTCTGTAGGTTGCGTGATTGCGCGATTTAACTGTAAGCTCTTAGCCAATCAAATTGCTTTTACCAACTACAATGTATAATAATTCAATTTATTTGATAAAATAAATAAGACGTTAATGTCCACATTTTATGATCTGTATTGTTCAAAATATTTAAATCAATATATAGCTGAAATATTAGGAATTATTTTTATGCATGAATGTGAAATTTACACACGCTACTGTTGATTAATTTCATTCCAATAGCCTAATAGAACAAGGAGTTATTTACTGATATGCCTTTTTCATTACTGGATTATTCCCCTATTTCAATGTATTAGACGTATACCTGTAATTACTGGTTCTTTCTCTTCACACATGACAACATTTTCTGACTCTTTGTCTTCAATTGCATCTGAATATAAAATATCAATCACCATGTGACTGGACACTATTGAAAAATATATTGACTGATGTGCAAGTGTGCCACATGTGATGTCCTGGAAGATTTGTAGAGACAATTTATCAAGTAAATGTAGATGGGATTTTTGTAGAAGGAATTTTAGAACGAAAATTTATGAACAATTTAAAATTTAATCTGAAATTGCATGTAAATTTCTATTCGAAAATTCCAATTGCAAAAATGCCATATCGAGCAACAGATGCCCAAAACTGACTTCAGAATCTATATGAAAGTTTTTATTTTGCAGACGGAAGAAAAACACTAACCAAACGGGCTATTTTATTGCGTGTTCTAAATACTAGATTCCCCTTATTACATTTTCGTAGCGCTTTACATTGCATTGTGGTTATAGTTGTATCACTGATATTCAAGATGGCTTATTTTTTGTGCTCACCCGTGCAAGAACTTTCAAAAAAAATTAGGGTCTGGTGCGCGACAGCCAACAGCAAAATAAGTGGTTGGGCCACTAAAAAATTTGGCCAAGAAAACGTTTCTCCTCAGTGCCCCCCCCCCCCGGCCATAAATAATGACCGGTCTCTTGGTTCATGGGTTTAGTCACTCAATTTCGATGTAAAATGGCGATTAAAAGTTTATCAAAATTTCATGCTTACACATGGGTTTCGCCATGTTCATACGCCACGCGGCGGGAGGGGGAGGCAATTGCCCCCCAGTCAAAATGAAGTTCGGGCAAATTATAGACATAATTCGGGCAAAAATTGGTGGAAATAACTTTAAAAAGAAGACATATGCAAAATAGTATTTGAAAATACCAGAAATTTGTAAAACTAACATGGAATTTCGTCAAATGGGAAAAATGTTTTTGTCGAACCCCCTTCCCTTTTTCAGTATGCCGGGCACAATGGGGAAAATTCGGGCAAACTGCTTTTTGATTTCCCCCCTCCCCCAGATTTCCCCCTCCCGTACGCCTATGGCCATATTTACTCAAGGGACTTCAATTTGAATCTCAAATGAGAATAATTTCAATACTAAGACAATAGCTTTACATGCAGTTCCCAACGGTGGAAAAATGCGATTTCGACCGACATTTTTTTAAAAATCGATTGGATTAGATTTGGCTATTTTTGATCGCAATGAAAGAAGAAAGGTATTCGACAGCTAAAAGTCTGATCTTTATTAATATGAGAAAAGTAAATGGATAAACGTAATATATTATGCACAATAACATGCCAAAGTTGGATTACCATTTTTATAGACCCTGCATGTATATAAAGCCCATTTTCCACTAGGCGAATTTGTTCGTGCGAACATTAAATTAATTCACCTGGAGTTGTCACGTTTACCTGGTGTTTGTGAGGACAACATTTTCTTTCTAGATCTTTTGTGCTGGTGCGTAAGGTGAACGTTTCGTTCACCTACAAAATAAGAAAGTACAATTTTCAAAATTTTAAAACATGCAAATATATACAATATTTGCCGAGAAAAATTGAAGCCAATCATATGCTTACCTATATATGTATACGACATCTATATATTTTCATACTGATAATCAAAAATAATTACCTGTGTCACTATCTTTAGCCAACTTTTGAGCTTTTTGAATCTCGTCAATTGCCTTTTTAGTATCTCCAAGATTGAACCAGGCAATTCCCAAACCAGTTAAAGCCTCCTCTTTCAGAATATCATCATTAACATGTGTTCTAACAATATACAGAGCCTTTTCATACCATTCTATCGCCATCTTGTAATCACAATCTTTCCCACAAACTGTTGCCAAATTCAAACATGATGTTCCTTCACAATGTCTATCACCAAGTTCCACGGCAACTGTCCAAGCCTCTTGGTAATATTCCTTCGCCTTCTCGTAGTTACCAATGTTGCAGAAGATATTTCCGATCGCTTGGTTTGTGCGATATTCTTGATATTTTTCTCCAACTTGTTTGGCAATTTCTTTCGCATTCTCGTAAAATGTTATTGCTTCTTGATGTTGACCAGCAATAAAAAGGCAGCAGTAACCGCACCATTCATTGATAATTCCCTCCAGAGCTTTCTCAAAACAAACACCTTGCATTTCTTTATTCTTTATTTCTTTGTTAATGCTTAACGCTTTCTTGTAAGATTTAATGGCTTTCTCGTGTTTCTTTAATTGTTGAAAGGTATGGCCGAGCATGTGACATGCGTTGGCATCTTCTTTTCTATCAGCAAGATCAAGAGAAATTTCTTCAGCTTTGAGATACGATTTGACAGCTGCATTAAACTTACAACTCTTGTATTGTACATGTCCTAGATTTGTATGAGCTACTTTTTTAAGACCTTTGTGATTGAGCTGTTTTGCCACTGTGATAGCTTTTAAGAAATACTTTTCTGAGGATTCAAGGTCGCCAATATAACTGAACGCACTTCCTAAACCTATGCTAGCATTGATTTCTCTCGTTTTGCATTCAAGCTGTGAGGCAAGTCTTGCGACTTCGTTGTAATACTCTATTGATTCTTGGTATTGACCAGCTTGCAGGTGGTTGTAACCTAGCCATTGATATGCTATTACTTCCATTTCATCTGCTTCGTAGCCTGGATATATTTGTCGTGCCGCCTGATAATACTCGATTGCTTTTATATATTCGGAAGTTCCAGTAAATACATTTCCCAACAATTGATAAGCTCTCGCTTTGATATAATTGTGATTTGTTTCATCCGCAATTAGAACTGCTTGATCGTAGCTTTTGACAGCCTTCTCATTTCGGCCTTGCGTTTGGTAAGAACGTCCCAAGATTAATAGTTGTTCTGCAGACGCAATTTTATGGTCACTAATACTTCCGTTTTCGATGTCTGTTTGGTTCACACTATCAACACTTTTGTGCTGAAGTTGAGCGTCACCCAATGAATTAGAATTTTGATCGCAATTAGTATTATAATCATCATTGACTGCATCTAAATCTAAAGAAAAAAATTACAATCTTATTAACATTATTGCAGTGAAGTCAAAGCGAGGAAAGATTTTGTTAGCGAAAACGCAGCCAGAAAGAACCCAATATTGCTCTAGATAAATATACTTAAGCATTGTGTCAATATATTGGCCCACATGCAGATAATTGCATCGATTCAAGCTCTCATTCTGTCCCCGTCTTTGCATTGCATGAATATTTGCATCGTGTATAAAAATTATTATATTTAGCGAAGCTACAAATACATGCAAAAAGTTAAAATGTGTTACCCAAGATGTCCATGGGCAACTGCATTCTCATTCATCAACTGGGCCTAGTTACCCTACTCTGGGTTTAAAGGTTTTCTGGTGTCAGGCAAGTTTTACGTTTCCAAACTTTGAGTTTAGGTTATAGGGTAGTGTTACCGCTTAGAGCTTCCCAAATAATTCTTACTTAACTTTTCACTTAAACCCAAAATTGAACATTTTATTTTTAGTAGTGAGGTAAGTTGAGGGACGTGTAAAGATCCTGGAAAGCAATTGCAACGTACTCGTCCGGAAAATTTTTTTCCCTAAACAGTTGTCCACGGGGGTGAGGGGGGAGGTTGTTGCTCTCCGAAAAATTTTTTTTGCGGAGCACCCCCCCCCCCCAACCAGATCATGCTGGATCCATCGCTGAACCAGCCAGGACATTCAAATGCCTTAACATACCTGCAATTCTTGACAACTCTTCAATTGCATTTCTCGCAACAATTCCTTTCTGTTTATTTTCTAGTTCCTTTGCAATTTCCAAGGCTTGCTCATAGTATTTAATTGCCGTTTGAAACTGATTGTTCAATCTATAAGCAACACCTAAGTTAAGGCATGCCTGTGTTTCATGATCTTGATCTTTTCGTTCTTTGGCAATTTCCAAGGCTTGCTCATAGTATTTAATTGCCGTTTGCAACTGATTCTTCAATCTATAAAGAAGTCCTAAGTTAAGGCATGCCTGTGTTTCATGATCTTGAACTTTTCGTATTTTTGCAATTTCCAAGGCTTGCTCATAGTATTTAATTGCCGTTTGCAACTGATTCTTCAATCTATAAACAAGTCCTAAGTTAAGGCATGCCTGTGTTTCATGATCTTGATCCTTTCGTTCTTTTGCAATTTCCAAGGCTTGCTCATAGTGTTTAATCGCCGTTTGAAACTGATTCTTCAATCTATAAACAAGTCCTAAGTTAAGGCATGCCGTTGTTTCATGATCTTGATCCTTTCGTTCTTTTGCAATTTCCAAGGCTTGCTCATAGTATTTAATTGCCGTTTCAAACTGATTGTAAAATCTATAAGCTTGTCCTTAAGTTAAGGTATGCCGTTGTCTTTTGATCTTGATCCTTTCGTTCTTTTGCAATTTCCAAGGCTTGCTCATAGTGTTTAATCGCCGTTTGAAACTGATTGTTCAATCTATGAACAACTCCTAACCCAAGGTATGCCGTTGTCTCTTGATTTCGATCCTTTCGTTCTTTTGCAATTTCCAAGGCTTGCTCATAGTATTTAATTGCCGTTTCAAACTGATTGTAAAATCTATAAGCTTCTCCTAAGTTAAGGTATGCCGTTGTCTCTTGATCTTGATCCTTTCGTTCTTTTGCAATTTCCAAGGCTTGGTCATAGTATTTAATTGCCGTTTCAAACTGATTGTAAAATCTATAAGCTTCTCCTAAGTTAAGGTATGCCGTTGTCTCTTGAGCTTGATCCTTTCGTTCTTTTGCAATTTCCAAGGCTTGCTCATAGTCTTTAATTGTCATCTGATAGTTGTTATTGTAGCCTTCTAACTGTTGCTTTTTTCCGTTTTCTTGCTCCATTTTCAACGCTTGTGCGTTATGGTCAAATACTGTTTGCCTCCAATAGCTGAACATAGAAATATGACGTTGATAATTAGATTATTATTTTTGTTTTTCAAACGTTTTTCACCATTTATTACTGTTAATTAAGCCATAGGCTACTTGTTAGTAGTTATATGTATAGCCTAATAAACCCGAGCCAGATACTCACGATGCAGCTGCTCGAGCACTGATTATGGTCTAAGGGTTCATTTTTGCTTATACGCTATGGGAATATGGACTGAGTGGAGTTTGGATAATTGTCGACTGTCGAAAGGCAGAGGTCGAGGATCGAGACTCAAACGTGGAGGTCGAGTATCGAGAGTCAAACGTCGAAGGTGGATAGTCGAATTCGAAATTACTAAATTTGTTCGTTAATTTTAATACATTTCTAGAAATCTAAATTTTGCGTATATGTGGTGTTAAAATTTTGCAATAATTTTGCAACTTTCACTTTTCTTTCACGCCCTCAGAAATTTGTTACTTTTATAAAGTCATGCATATTACCAAAACCGCGGATGTTTTCTTTCGCCCAAAAAAAAAATATAGAAGAATGGTGCGAATAGTCGCCAAGCATTTCGAATAATAAGATGTTCGTGATGAAATAGACGTTCTGTAAGTTAAGAATCATGCACAGCCAACCATGATGCGCTGACGCTTCGCGCTATGTGAATATTTGCATAGCTAAAAAATTAATAATGTCTACGAAAATAGTCAAACGCTAAAAATGATATGCAATTAGCTTTATTATAAACAAAAATTTTTTAAATACATTTACTCACTAGTGTTTTGATGAAATCCTGATTCCTGCCCCATAGTCTGCTACGTTCACGCAGTTCGTTCATGCTTTGATGGAGCAGGATTTCGGCGAACTTGCCATGCGAAAGCCCCCGTATTCCCAAGCTTTCTTTCCTTTCCGTCCAAAGGACGTACGTTGAACTTGTCAACGGTATTCTTTTTGATATACCTCACTTCTGTATTTCCCACGAATGGGAAATACAAGCCATCTACTTTATAAAATGAGAATATTTTCTAAAATCATTGGTTAATAAGATAAAAACACACGTCAAAATCTCAATCAATGATCTTTTAACATATTCCAACAATAAAAAAATATGACATCGTCTAAGAATACTGCAGATTGATAAGGATACGCTTCGGATGTCAATATTTCGTCACTAAAGTGGTTAATAAAATGGCGGAATACAAAACAATCAAAACATTTCAGCGCGCAAAGCATCACGGTTGATTGTGATTCTTTAAGCTTGTTTTAATTTTTCTGTTGTCTTTTATTAATAAACTCGTGGTGATTTTATGCCATGTTTAAAAGGCAATTGCGTGCAATTTTACGTACAGTTTTCTGACCATGCATATATTCTCGCACATGTAAACGTTGCGCACATGAAGACCTTGTTATATGCGCGGCAGAATTTATCCCATTCAGGCTAGTATATTACGGATTTTGTACAATTTTATATTGCGGATTCATTTTCAAACAAATTTAATCACTCACTCACTCAAGTAATAATTCCGCAGCAAGTGGCTAATTCATGACATTAGGTACTATTAATGCACCAATTCGTTAAGCAAATATTCTAAGACAATTAAAACAACTATGACACACACAATGTTGTGGGAGAAGAGTTGACGAGGAGAAATGCGCCAATTGTACTTTAAACTGTGGCCAAATTGTCGCCCCACAGACTCGCTATTACAGCAATATGATTATGATATAATTGTATGTCCTCAGGGGGTCCTGGTTCCCCCATGCTAATTCTTTACTGTTATATAAGTATTGTTATTTTAACCAAAATTAAATGCTCAGCCAGACAAACATATAGCATGGAATTTTAGGTTTAATGATATATTGGGCCAGTATTATTGAGTACATCGGTAAACCCTTGGCTATAGGCCTGATCTACAGGTTTTCCACAGAACTTAAAGGAGAAGTATTATAAGGAACTTACTACGACACAATAATTTCAATTACGACATAGCTATATACCTTTTAACAGATTCTCAAGTTTTCACATTTGATAAGACAATCCTGGTATTGGCGGCTATTATTGCTTTGTAATTATATCAATATATCAAAATTTCTGTCATTTCTATTCAGTATATGACGAGTAAGCACTTACCGAGCAAATAAACAATTATCTATATCATCCCAAAGCGACGTAAGCCAAGCAAATACCAGCTATTTGTATTCTGATAAAAAACTGTACATCAGTAGGATAAGTTGACGACGATCAAATTACTTTCTTCACAAACATAACTTTAGTATAAAAGTTACGAATTTCGAAAAAGTTATAAGATGAATGAAAATATGCTCTAGCCGAGTAGCGTTTATTAATTGCTTTGGAGCACGACCATGCAAGTTCTAAAGCTCGGTGGGAGAGATTTTAATTTTTATTCAAATACGTTCAGCTTGTTAGCGTGTGGAATTTTCTTTTTAAGCAGCGGAATTTCCAAAATGTCCGTGTTATAGAGGTGACTGTATATAAAATGGCCACATAAATTTGATTAAGTTGTCATATATAGAAAAAATAGGCACGCTAGGCGTGCATGTATCTGCGCAAAATGTTGACCGTATCCAGCCACCATGCAGCTGTTATTCAGTCGTCATGTTCCCTAGCCAGTGCGCTAATGAGAGGCGTTCACATCCCCCCCCCCCCTTTGAACGCCTGACATTTTTTTTCTGGAGGAAGATTATCTCTCCTTAGTGCCCTGGCTAGGGACATGGCGGCAGTTGCGCCAACATCAAAGGTTCGGACAAGGAATCGGATTTTGATTTGTATATGTACTCTGTGGCATCATGTTCGATTCCTCTGCCTGTCTCTCCTCCCTACACCTTTTTAAAAAATTAGTTTGTAAGACAGAGCTCATAAAAAAGGATAAATTGAACAAAAATAATGAATTTGAACTCATGAATGAGGTAAAAGAAGTACTCCTCCTAAAAGCATGCTACGAGCTGTAGTAGTTAAAACAGTTAATAATTGCAGAGTATTATTAATCATATACGCAATGACTAGGTAAATTTGCAACTGACAATCCATACAATTTCCATTAGTTGCAATAATTATGTCTGGCAAATGTGATGGACTGTTGCTGTTTTGGCAAATATAATAAGGGATAACAATTTATAAATAAATTATCTAGGATATGAACTTTTATAATTAAACAAGACGCCTGCTCAGGCGTGTAATGACGTAATAGTTACATCATGCCTTAGGAGCATGCGCACTTGTAAGATAGAAGCTAGACATGTGTTTATGCATCGAAGGAGTACTATATTACATTTGGCGACGAGGACAAAAATAATAATAAAATATGGCAAAAGCCATACCCGATTTCGAACCATTTATAGTTTATGGGAACGACACTTCAAGTTCTTCTATTGCCACTCGCTGGAAAAAATGGTTGCAACGTTTTAACAATCTTATGGTCGCTATGGATATATCGGCAAAGAAACGGAAACGTGCTTTACTTATACACTTGGCTGGATCACAAGTTTACGATATCTTTGACACATTTACCGCCGAACAGAAAGGTTCTGAGGATGATTTTGACACCGCTGTGAAATCACTTACAACTTATTTCGAGCCTAAAAAGAATACGGAGTATGAAATCTACAAATTTCGCCAAGCTAGCCAACGCCATGACGAAAAGCTCGATTCTTACCACCCTCGCCTTCGACACCTTGCTTCCACGTGTGAATTTGCAGACATGGATCGCGAAATTAAAACACAAATTGTCCAAACGTGCACGTCCCAACAGCTTCGACGAAAAGCCCTTCGTACTGAAATGACTCTCCAACAACTTTTAGATCAAGGCCGAGCCTACGAACTATCACACCAACAAGCTCAGGAAATGGAAAATAACAACACAGAATCAGTCAACCAGATGAAAACTGCTGCAACACGAAATTACTTTTCGAAGAACTTCAACTCACAACGTCAAGGACCAAGACAAGAATCAACGAAACTATGTTATTTTTGCAGCAAACCCTATCCTCATCCTGGCGTATGTCCAGCAAAAGGGAAAACGTGTCGACTTTGCGGGAAATTGAATCACTTTGCCGTCGCATGCCGTTTATCTCCACAAAAACAACAACATCGCCACCATGAAAGTGACAAACGTCAGACGGTTAAATATGTAAACGAAGAAATCGCAAGTGACAATACCAGTGAACACTCCGAGTCGGATGAATATACGTTTATGGTGCAAGATACAGACGAAAATACCAAACATCCAATGGTTAACTTACGAATTCAAAACCTAGCCAAAGTTAAATTCATTATTGACACTGGAGCGACAGTTAATTTACTCGAAGAAAAGGATTTTGAAGCCCTCAAACCGGAAATAACATTGCAACACAGTTCTATCAACATCTACCCCTACAAGTCCGATAAACCCCTCCGTGTCCTTGGAAAGTTTACTGCTACTGTAGAATCGCGGAAACGAATTGATGCTGCCGAGTTTTTTGTCGTTAGCAACAACGGTCGCCTTGGAGGTTCTTTGTTATCCTACAATACTGCAAAGCATCTTGGTTTGATTGCAATTACTAACGCTGTGGACACTGCTAAGAACACAACTGTATCCTGCAATGTTGCAATACCTGAGGAATTATTCAATGGCGTTGGAAAATTAAAAGATCATAAGGTGAAGCTACATATTGACGAATCAATTCCACCCGTTGCTCAAACCCATCGGCGGATACCATTCCATCTACGGAAACAGGTGGAGAAAAAGCTTGAAGAGATGGAAAAGGATGACATCATCGAGAAAACAGAAGGTCCAACGCCCTGGGTTTCTCCAATCGTTGTTGTGCCGAAACCCAAAAGTCCAAACGATGTTAGAATTTGTGTGGATATGCGGGCTGTCAACAAGGCAATCCAGCGAGAACGTCACATAACCCCCACCATAGATGACGTCATAGCAGATCTAAATGACGCTAAAGTATTTTCAAAGCTTGTCCTCAATCAAGGTTATCACCAACTTGAACTCTCAGAAGAATCACGCTATATTACCACGTTTAGCACCCATGTCGGCCTGAGGAGATATAAGCGCCTTAATTTCGGAGTAACCTCTGCAGCTGAAATTTTCCAAAATACTATTCGAGAAACTCTTGAAGGTCTCAACGGCTGTATTAACATCAGTGATGACATCTTAGTCTATGGATCCAACCAAAAAGAACATGACAACAACCTTAAATCTGTATTGGAACGTCTTCAGTCTCGTAACCTAACATTAAATAAGCTGAAGTGTGAATTCAACAAAACCAGCGTTGAATATTTTGGATATGTATTCTCATCGCAGGGCATTTCACCTGATCCTCGCAAAGTGGAAGCTATACGCAACTCCCAACCTCCATCCAATCCAAACGAAGTCCGAAGTTTTCTAGGTATGGTCAACTTTTGTGCCCGATTCATCCCAAACCTTGCGACACTAGCTAAACCATTACGAGACCTGACAAAACAGCATGTCAAGTGGAAATGGACCAGTACTGAACAACATGCTATGGACAGTATCAAATCCGTGTTAACCAGTGAAACAACAATGGCTTATTATAATCCCTCGCACAAAATTGAAGTTCTTGTAGATGCAAGTCCAGTTGGTCTTGGTGCTATACTTGTCCAATATCCTACCACTAGAGATCACAGTGCTTCGCCACGTATTGTCAGTTATGCCAGTCGGGTATTAACTCCTGTAGAGACTCGCTATTCACAAATTGAGCGAGAAGCTCTGGCTATTGTCTGGTCATGTCATAAATTTCATCTATATTTATATGGTACCCAATTCTCTGTTATTACTGATCACAAGCCACTGGAACGTCTTTTCAACGACCCACAAAGCAAACCACCTGCTCGTATTGAACGATGGTTATTAAAGGTACAACCATATCGTTTCAATGTTCAGTATCAACCTGGTTCTGACAATCCAGCCGACTTTATGTCCCGCCATCCGTTGCCATCATCACCTACCAGCCATGAGGAGAGATGCGCTGAAGAATATGTTAATTTCGTTTCAATGCATGCTGTTCCCAAGGCCCTTACGCTGGAAGAAATCAAAGAAGCCACAAAAGCTGATACCACAGTTCAAGCTGTCATTCAAGCAATTCAAACCAAACAGTGGCACAATGCGAAACTCCAACCTCGTGTTGATCGCAAGTCGGTAGAATGTTTTTTTCACATCCAAAACGAACTGTCAGTTAACAGTGATCAAAGTCTCCTCCTACGTGGTACCCGTATAGTCATACCAAGTAAACTTCAAAACCATGTGATAGACCTCGCACACGAAGGCCATCAAGGCATATCACGGACAAAACAACTCTTGCGTGAGAAGGTCTGGTTTCCGACCATTGATAAACAAGTGGAAGAAAAGGTTAGCTGCTGCTTAGCTTGCCAAGTCACAACAAACACAAGCAACATTGAACCATTACGTATGCCTGAAGCTAGCAAGAATCCATGGGAAAGTGTATCACTTGATTTTTGCGGCCCGTTTCCCAGTGGTGAGTACTTACTTGTACTGATTGATGACTACTCACGATACCCCGAAGTAGATATTATTAGAACAATAGCCCATACAACTGTTATTCCCTGTCTTGACAAAATCTTTGCTACTCACGGAATTCCCAGAACAGTTAAATCGGACAATGGCGCCCCATTTAATAGTACAGAATTCAAACAGTTTGCTAATTATCTTGGTTTCCAACATCAGCGTATAACGCCCTATTGGCCTCAGGCAAACGGAGAAGCCGAACGATTTATGAGAACATTAAAGAAAACAGCTAGAACTGCCAAAGTTGAAGGCAGGTCTTGGAAACAAACCCTGTTTACCTTCCTCAGAAACTACCGAGCTACGCCCCATAGTGTAACCCACCAGGCTCCTGCAACCTTGCTATTCAATCGTGCCATAAATGTCAAGTTACCCCAGTCACAAACTGTAGCACCAGCTGACCCAAACCATCAACAAGCACTTGATGCATCGTGTAAGTCAAGACAAAAGAACAAGGTCCACTTTGACGAACGAAACAAAGCCAAATCCTCTGAATTCAAAGTCGGTGATGCAGTCCTGCTGAGAAACTCAAAGAAAGGTAAATTGCAGACCCCTTATGAACATCAGAAATACCAAATTGTTAAGAAGAAAGGATCAATGATTACAGCGTCAAATGACAATCGCCAAGTCACTCGGAACTCGTCACATTTTAAAAAGTTTAAAGAAAAGAAAGGTGAAACAGATAACCCAGCAGATAAAGAAGAACAGCCGAGCAAGCAGAACACCAATGAACGCCCGAAAAGGAAAACAAAACCACCAGCCTACTTTGGCTATAAACAGTCAGATAAGTAAAACATTTATAATGAACTTTAATTGTCTAAGAAGTCATCATAAATGAACTTTAAAATAAGACATTATAGGAACTTTCAGGTTGATATTAGTTAATCACAAACAGTTATAGTGAATGCAAAAAACTAAAGGTTTAAAGGGATGTAATGACGTAATAGTTACATCATGCCTTAGGAGCATGCGCACTTGTAAGATAGAAGCTAGACATGTGTTTATGCATCGAAGGAGTACTATATTACAAGGCGTTCACACTGGCCTGAAAATAACGAGATACGTGCTATGGAGCAAAAGGCAGGAATACAAATCTTAAACCGCAAGCAAATTTTATGGACTTTTTAAAAAAATAAAAGACCTTTTCGGAAGACGTAATGGAGATCGATGCACGTTCAAATCATGCCGACCTGCAGAATCGATTTCCGGTTTTTCCTAACAGCGCGTTGTTTTCATATGCGTTTCATGGGCCGCGCTAAAAATATAAATATTCTGTAAATACCGAAATAAAAGATGAAAATCTCAAGACACAAGCTTGAAAATAACACTATAGATAGTGTTTTCGATTCTGGTTCCAATAACATTATCACAAAAAAGATATGTCCAAAGGGGCCGAAGTTATATTCGGCAAAATGTATGGCTAGTTTACATTGTTAGTTGTATTATGAAATATGATACCATATTTGTATTAAATTTCGCGTCGAACTAATGTTATTGTAAATGAGTAGACTTGCCACAAGTCGACCTCGAACGAAATGCGTTTCTTCGAGGTCGACTTGTGGCAAGTCTAGCAAATACATACAAATGATACAATAATACTTCTAGTTCTTGTTGGTATTTTGAACGCACGCTTTATCTTTAGTATAGCTACCACAAAGCTTTTCGCGCGGATTATATTTCGTGGAGTACTAAATATTATATTTTGTGGTTTTCGAGTCATTACACAAAGAAAGACACATTAATTCAACACGCAAGAAAGTCCAGAGTACGACACAGCGTAAAATACATAGGAAACCGGCACAATTCTTTGAAAATTCAACGAAACTGTGTAAAATATAGTTTGATCACTCTGTGAAAGCCGCCATTGCAGTTCGGAATTGTGCGCGTGCGTACAAGTGTATAGGCTAATAAACAAAAAAGTACCACAAGCATGGCATGAGTCGGCTATTACGTACATATATACGAGCTTATTACTATACTATATAAATCATGGAACCGAGGGAATCGATGGCATTTGGGCTTAATCGTTGTACCCTGAGCCTGCGATGAGCTAACGCAAACTCGATTTCTCGACTACGAAAAAAACAGAAAAAGGGGGATTTATAAGACACTTGGCCTTACAGGCCAGTGTAATGAGAGGGAATTTTATGGAAAGCCATAGCTGTCTTAAGTGATCAAACGGCATTTTGTTGGGTGCTTTCACCATTATACGCGGTGGTTCTAGCATTATACGCGGTGCTTTCACCATTATACGCGGTGCTTTCAACATTATACGCGGTGGTTCGAGCATTATACGCGGTGCTTAAATCGTTATACGCGGTGGTTCGAGCATTATACGCGGTGCTTAAATCGTTATACGCGGTGGTTCGAGCATTATACGCGGTGCTTTCGGCATTATATGCGGTGCTTACATCGTTATATGCGGTGGTTCTAGCATTATACGTGGTGGTTCGGCATTATATGCGGTGCTTTCGGCATTATATGCGGTGGTTCTATCATTATACGCGGTGGTTCGAGCATTATACGCGGTGCATTCATAATTTGCATTATTATGTGGTAGTGAGCCAGTATGTTTGGACAGCGGTTAATATTTATTTAGTTATCAGTCCACAGGCGGCCCAAACTCTGAATGGTCTATATATTTTGAATATTATACGGAATATTTATACGTTATAATCTCTGCGTTGTAATATTTAACGAAATAATTTTAAAAATATCAACAATATACCGGGTGTCCCAAAAAAACTATACCTATTATATTAAAGCTAAAACTGAACGGTTTAGAAATAGTTTTATCCCATATGCAATTAGAACTTATTCGTAGTTTTAAATTAACGTTTTAATGATTTTATATTTTCTTATATAGCTTATTTTGAATATGTATCTTAATTAACTTCATATAATGTAAAAACGTGTAATTCAATCCCTGATTGCAAAACGTTTTTTATTAAAAATCACAATCGCAGTATATAACATTTAATTTTCCGCGCGTTGACAGAGCTGGACCATTGGCGTTTTGAAATTGAACTACCATTTCTGAAAAGGTTAAAAATTAGCATAAAACGGCATATCAAATTTTTATTCTTGCTAAAAGAATGAATTTATGTACAAAGGATTGACTGAGTCTACTCATCAGGAAAAGCGTGTCTTTGAGCCTGAATGAACCGTTGTGTATGCTCTAGAAATCATGCCATCATAAGCGTTTTGAATCATTTGTTGATCCAAAAATCTAATCGACAATGTTTACAGTATTTCATTACCAATTTGAATCACAATTAGCCCATGCAAAGGACATCGACGTAAATTATTACTTTTTTGTTTCATTCCAATCAATCTTTAAGTGTAATTTTTATTTCAATTTAGTCTGATGCGGCAATTTTTGTCGTTTTTTCGACAATGTTTAAAACTCCTCGGAACTTTAAATACGAAGTCAATATCGTACGGAAAATTAAATGTTGTATATCAAAATCTAAGTTAATCCTTTGTGAATAGAATGGTTTTCATTTTAGTGAAATAGCTTTTAATATAGGTTTTACGTTACATGAACTCAAACAGTGTATAGTTTTTTTGGGGACACCCAGTATGTAAAAAATATAGCTAAATTGTTAATTCTATCCTTCACATGACATGCGCCAGCCCCAAATCCCTGCTGACCATTCCATGAAGGACGAAATGCCGCGTACAGGGATACCGACTTTTACGGCACGTGACTATTTCTTTCTCTCGCTTTATATATTTTACATGTGCTTCCATAAAGGCTTTTTTAAGTTCAGCGCGATCATACCTTTTGGGCAGATCAAATATTTTTTTACACCACATTTTACCGTTACAATTTTACAATCACACATGCATCTCCAATTTTATGTTTCATAAATCTACACCTGTAGCCTACTTATATTTCTTAGGTTCACATTTATACAAATACAAGTCGTTTTTCCTCAGTTTTATCTCAACATAATTTTCACAGGCATACATTGTGCCAACAACACGAGGCCATCACATTCACTATCATATTTCACACTACACTTTTGGATCTAACATTTGGGGACTATTGTGGCATAAAATTATTACTAGGACACCAATAGGCAATATGGTTCTCATTACCTATATCTAAACTTAGAAAAAACTGCCTCCATGCCCAGAGATCGAAGTATTTCGTCGATGACAAAAAAAATATAACACTAAATAGCATTCTTTCAACATTAATCGTGTTCGAAGTAAACGTTTTTTCCCCTCAAAAAACTCTAAATATATTGCGAAAATTTGCCGTCGCAAAACATATAAATGCTAACATGTGATCGAGACACGAAGTATAAAATATTCTTTCTAAGCCGCTGTCCAAACATACTGGCTCACTACCACATAATGATGCTCACTACCACATAATGATGCAAATGAGTACTATTAGTAATTATTGATTATTTTATTACCAATGAACCAGGAAAAATATCCAAATGTGGTGTAATACATACTGGAATTAGTGACCACAGTCTCATTTATGGCATAAGAAAGATTAACATTCGACACAAAGATAATGATAACATAATTGAAATTAGAAATATGAAAAAATTCAATGAACAGCAGTTTTACAAGACCTAGGAACTCAAACATGGGAACATGTCTATTTTTTGCAGACAATCCTGACACTATGTGGGAAATTTGGAAACAACTTTTCTTACAAGTCCTAGATAAACATGCCCCAATTCAAAACAAAAAAACAAAATCTAAAAAAAATCCTTAGATTACTAGTCATATAAAAAAACTAATAATTGCAAGAGATAATTTGAAAAGAAAAGCAATTATCACTAAACTTGAAACAGATTGGGATAACTATAAAAAAGCCAGAAATGAAACAAACAATCTTCTAAGACAAACCAAAAAGGAATATTATTCCAATAAAATAGCGACTGAAAAGCAAGATCCAAAAGCTGCTTGGAAGACAATTAATACCTTACTTGGTAAACAAAATCAAAGAACTAAAGTAAGCGAGTTAAACTTAAATGGCATAAAATTAACACTCCCTGATGAAATTTCTGAGGGCTTCAATACCTTCTTTCCGAATATTGGACCGAATTTAGCCGAAGAAATTAGTACACCAGGATGTCATTCTAAAGACTTCCTTGACAAAACTAATTCTGAATTTACTGCATTCCAGTCAGTTACTCTTAGTCATGTTTGTCTTTTATTACGTGAACTGTCTGGTAGCAAAGCTACTGGCCTGGATAAAATATCCAGCAAGATAATCAAAATTGCTGCACCATTAATTTCCGATTCATTGACTTACATCTTTAATCAAGCAATAACTTTATGTACTTTTCCACATGAATGGGAAATTGCAAGAGTAATTCCCCTTTTTAAGAATGGCAAACGAAGCTTGCCAGGAAATTATCGACCAATTTCTGTGTTACCAGCCATTAGTAAAATTATGGAACGTATCCTATATAGTCAACTTTATGAATATTTGAGTGCAAATAACATACTTTCTGAACATCAATTTGGTTTCAGAAAATTTCATTCTACTGCAACAGCTTTACTTGATTGCACAAATGATTGGTACATAAACATGGATAGAAAACTTTTTAATTTGGTTGTATTTGTAGACCTAAAAAAAGCCTTTGATACTGTTGACCATGAGATCTTATTGCAAAAACTAAAACTAGTTGGAATCACAGGAAGTGCATTTCTATTACTCAAATCATACTTAACTGGTCGTACTCAAAGATGTGAAGTCAATGGATCTATTTCAGGGGAAAACGACGTCAAATGTGGTGTACCCCAGGGGTCTATATTGGGGCCACTATTCTTCTTACTCTATATTAATGATCTACCTGCATGTCTGAGTAAAACAAAACCACGGCTGTTTGCTGATGATACAAATATCACAGCAGCTGGAGAATGCTTAAGTGATCTTGAAGATGCAGTAAACTCAGATTTAGAAATGATTCGTAAATGGCTCATGGCAAACAAACTGAGCTTGAATGTGGCGAAAACTGAATTTCAAATTATTGGTACTAAACAGATGCTGAAAAAAGCTTCTGTTCAGCAACTTAAAATTCACATTCAAAACATACCCATAAAGCAGGTTTTTCAATGTAAAACACTAGGTGTGACTGTTGATGAAAATTTGTGTTGGAAGAGCAATACAGATAATATATGTAAAAAGATATCATCTGGAATATACGCTCTTAAAAGCATTAAAGAATATGTTGATAAAAAAACACTTGTTTCCGTATACAATGCTATAATTCAACCATACTTTAGCTACTGTTGTGAAGTTTGGAATATATTTGGTGAAACGCAATCCACGCGTCTCCAAAAACTTCATAACAGAGCTGCTCGTGTAATAGCATGTGTGCCTAATGAGGTAGATCAACAAACTGTGCTAAGTATATTAGGATGGGAACCACTCAAGGAACAAAGAGTGAAAGCAAAGGCAAAAATAATGTTTAAAACGCTAAATAACATGGGGCCAAATTGTCTCAAAGAATTATTTACTTTCAAAAAAGAAATATTAAACCGCAGTCTTCGTAAGGGACCGGTCATAAAGTAACTGCTAGGGTGGGCTGGAGTGATTTGGGATGGGCCATGTAAAATCTTTGGGCAGTCTCGATGGGCCGCCAATTTTTTTGTATGTCCACGGTTGGGCCACCAAACAAAAACCCGTGCATGTCTACTTCAAAAAATAAAATATTAATAATAAACAAGTAAAGAAGACTATCCAAATTATCAAATGCAAATGACGCTATTGAAGCTAATACTTTGTTTATACAACAACAAGAAGAGGTCGAGTCACAACAAATACAACCAACTGGAGAGCAGCTCAGTGCCGTGTATATTTACAATGTTCAATCATACCTGCAAGTTTAAAAGTGTATTTTCCCAATTAAGATTGGGTGGGTCACAAGGGTGGGTTGTAGCGAAGTAGTTGTAGTTCGCTACTGTAGCGAACTACAATTTTCAAGTAGCCAGTAGTTTTTGACTACTTTTTTAAAACAGTAGCTGTAGTTATAGCGAACTACATTTTGCGTAAAAGTAGCCAAGTAGTTGACTACTTTTCAAACAGCGAATCGCTATTCGCTACTTTCTAAAATTGTTAGCAACTTGATAGAATAGAATGATATTGAGACACGGTTTGCTTAAAATCGATACTCAATAGTCAGTTTGCACTCCTGAACACTGTAGTGCTTACAAAAATGTTGCTTTGTGTTCACTGTTGCTACTCATAAGTCGATTTGTTATATATAGGTTACATTTCAGCCTGAGTTAAAAGATGCTCCAAATACAGTAAAACTAAAAATATAGCGTAGCGAAATAGCGAAATAGTTCGCTACATTTTTTTAGCTGTAGCTGTAGTCAGTAGCGAACTACCTTTGTTCAAAAGTAGCAGTAGTTGTAGCTGACTACATATTTTTGAAGTAGCTGTAGTTATAGCGAACTACAAAAATGTTGTAGTCAACCCACCCTTGGTGGGTCATGAAACATTTTTTGTAAGATTAGATGGACTTTGAAATTTTTATCTACATCCTAAGATGGGTCACCGAACTTGTTGGCAAAATTTGTGATTTACCTCCAGCCCATCGTAGCAGTTACTTTATGACCAGTCCCTAACAGCTCAAGTACCATATGTTTGCCCAAGCCAAACACAAACAATATGAAAAAGAGTTTCATGTATGATGGAGCTTCCATATGGAACTCTCTTCCAAAAAATATAAGAGAAAGTAATTCGCTCTCAAGTTTTAAAAGAAAAATCGCTACCTATAGCTTATAAAGAAAACCACATCATTGTAAATAGCAAACTTTTTGTATATATTTTATTAATTTTATATTCTGCATGTTAATACTTCCTTATTATTTTACTTGTAACAATTTGTTAATGTTTTTTACACGCCCATTGTGGAAACCAGCTTCTGCTGACAATGTTAGCGTGGTTAAATAAAGTTTATCATCATCATCAATGATGAAAGCACCGCGTATAATGCTCGAACCACCGCGTATAATGCTCGAACCACCGCGTATAATGGTGAAAGCACCGGGCGTAACGCTAATTGCGTATAATGACGAAAGCACCGCGTATAATGATGAAAGCACCGCGTATAATGCTCGAACCACCGCATATAATGCTCGAACCACCACGTATAATGCTCGAACCACCGCATATAATGCTCGAACCACCGCATATAATGGTGAAAGCACCGCGCGTAACGCTAACTGCGTATAATGACGAGAGCACCGCGTATAATGTTGGAAGCACCGCGTATAATGTTGAAATCACCGCGTATAATGCTAGAACCACCGCGTATAATGCTCGAACCACCGCGTATAATGCTCGAACCACCGCGTATAATGCTTGAACCACCGCGTATAATGGCGAAAGCACCGCAAATAATGCCGAAAGAACCGAGTATAATGCTAAAAGCACCCAACAAAATGACGTTTGATCACTTAAGACAGTTATGGCTTTCCATACGCTATGGTGCAATCTCGTTCTTTGAGCCTGCGGTCCTTGGGAAGGAAACGAAGGCTCTGGGATTATCCGTTTCAGGGAAGAATCTGATTGGCCGTTGATATGGAATGTGCAGTTCAATCTTAGCCAGAATTCCAAGCTTTCGGCAACGGATTATCCCAGAGCCTTCGTTTCCTTCCCGAGGATCGCAGGCTCGGGGAACGAGATTGGCTATGGTGTAATAGACAAGGGAATGGCGAGCAAGAGAGTTCAGTGTAGAACAGTTTCAGCGGTAGATTTATCCAAAGAAAATCAATAATTTGACAATAAAAAGCAGAAGGCAGAAACTGTTTGAAACCTAAAGTTGCGCGTTTGCACAAGTAACAAACCATCATAGGAAAAAAATAAAAATATAAAATGAGACATATTAATCACATTTAGTTTAATTTAATATCAGATACTTAGTAATAATATCTATAGTTAGTATGTCAGGTTCACACCGAAAATCACGTGACCATATTCAACTTTATCAAATCATGATCGTGGATCATTTCTGAGTAGTGAAGCAGTCAGATACAATATATCATTGTCTTCTTCGCCTTTCAGTTGCCTTGAACGATACGTTTTTGAAGAATGGAGATTTTGCGCCACGCAGTATTCCGTGATCATGTTCCAATATTGATATAAGAATTAATGAGCACATGATAACAAATGAGCACATAATAACTATGAGTTGAGTTGTATTAGGAAAATGAGAACCATACAATAAATGTCTTATGTCTTAGTTCTTGTTGGTATTTCACTGAACGCACGCTTTATCTTTACTTGCGCCAATTCTAGTAGCTACTGCGCGAATTTTAATACATGTATTATATGGCGCGTTTTTACTGTCAAAATTCAATAGGTCCGCCGGAATTCTAGTAGCTAGGCCTACGTACTGCACGAATTTTAATACATGTAATATTAAGGTATAGTGCCGACATTGTGTAGTCAAACGCCAAATCTTTAACTTTTCCTTGTTTATATTATATTGTGAACTAAATGTTATTGTATTAGGAAAATGAGAACCATACAATTAATGTCTTAGTTCTTGTAGGTATTTTGAAGGCACGCTTTATCTTTAGTATAGCTACCACAAACTGTGGGCGCACCAACTAGTAGCTACTGCGTGAATTTTAATACATGTATTAAGGTATATTGTCGACATTGTGTAGTGAAACTGTCAAACCTTTAACTTTTCCCTGTTTATATTTTGTTTATATTATACTATATCCCCTATATTATATTGTGAACTAAATGTTATTCTATTAGGCAAATGAGAACCATACAATAAATGTCTTAGTTCTTTTTGGTATTTTGAACACTCGCTTTATCTTTACTTGCGCGAAATCTTGTAGCCATTGCGCGAATTTCAATACATGTATTTTAATATGGTCAAACCTTTAACTTGTCCTTGTTTATATTGTATTGTGAACTAAATGTTATTGTATTAGGCAAATGAGAACCATACAATAAATCAAAATAAACTGTAGAACCTTTAACTTGTCCTTGCTTTAATTAGTTGCTTATATTCCACTATATTGTACAAATTCGCGTCGGGTCCAAATTTGGGGTTTTCGAGTCGTTTACTACAACATATTGATTGTATAAATCCGCCGGGTCGGCCAAATTTTGGAAGCCAAAATTTAGAGTCGTTTAATACAAAAATAAAAACATTAATTCAACACGCAGAAAAGTCCAGAGTGCGACAAAAAATGAACACAACTACACCACGGATGTTTATGACTCTACAACGTATATTTATAGACAGTTGTTTATTAGTTAAAACGTCAAACAGTCGAACCTTTAAGAGGGCCTCTCAGTAAAATCCACCCACTGGTTTGGGGAAGGAAAAATAGATTTAGCTCATATTTTGCATATGAACTAGACTTTGGTCAATATTAATCGAGCTTGTTTCAGAACGTTTCAATTTTCTGTTTTATAGGAGTTATAGCCCATGTTGAAATTTGACCTAGCGAGAATATTTTCAGACCGGAAATGAAGGGAATTTCACAATAATTCATCTGATTTTTTAAAAACTTTATGATGCGTTATCCCCTCCAGTTACTGTTCACATGCAAGATTAGCACTAATACTCTCGTTTTCATGGAGATTGAACAACTTTATTTGCTTAATACGATTTTTCTATAGTTTTACGAAACTATGTTTTCAAGATGGCGACGAGAGGCTGAAAATTGCTCATATTTTACTTAAAATAGCTCAAAAGTGGCACCTATCTGTAGTTCAAAAGGCATGTCATTTGAAAGTATACCTACTAAAGTTAAGTAATCAGGAATAAAACTCGTCTGCAAGCAATTTTCTGAAAAGTTATAAATCTCCAAATTGGGTCTATTTTTAGCTGTTTGTTTACATTTGCGTGTTCGCTGATCAGCGACACTAGTAATAGTTAAAAAGTTAAATAAGCTGGTTTATTATCCAGGTTCTAATTCACAACATAGAAACATTCAAAATACAACCTTAACCATTCTTGGCTTATTCGCATGAATAATTTCACAACTGTTAATATATTTTTAAAGTATAAACGGGCGGTATTTTCTGTGTTAGTGTTCGGTGCTTTAACATTTCTATTCAACTGGTCTCGTAATCTTTTTCTGTCCCTGT